CACATAGTCAATGAAAATTATTCCAGCTCTTAATATCTATTTTATGACATCATGTCTCAATTTCATGTGTCTACTTTTACAATTATAAGATTTATTCTTTGTAATAGCTATTACCGCTTCACAATCACAATGCATAGACACAGGAGGAAATACGTCCTTTATTAACAGAATATTGGCTAAGAAATTTCTTATCCACTCAGCCCTTGAACCAGCTAACTCTAGTGCTACAAACTCTGATTTCATAGTCGATCTAGCTATGATCGTCCGTTTAGTTGATTTTCACGATATTGCACCACCACCAAGGGTGAATACATAACCACTAGTGAATTTTGTCTCATCTGAATCATAGATCTAGTTTGCATCACTGTACCGTTCTAAAATAGAAGGAAATCCATTATATAGAATATCATAATTCATGGTTCCTCTCAAATATTTTATTAGTCTAACTAATGCAGACCAACACTCTTTGTTCGGATTATGAGTATATCTACTCAGTCTACACACTGCATAGGCTATATCAGGCCTTGTAAAATTCATTAAATGCATCAGACTCCCAATAATCTGAGCATATTTAGACTGAGCAACTGGGTTACCATTATTCTTTTTCAACTCAGAGTTAGCATCAAAAGAAGTGCTCGCAAGTGTGGCATTATGATATTCAAACTTCTTAAGAATTCTCTCAACATAATATTCTTGTGACAACATTATGCCATCTTCATTCCTCATAACTTTAACTCCCAATATCGTATTTACTTCACCCAAATTTTTCATATCAAAATAGCAGACAAAAATAATTTATTACTTTGTACAATATTTAAACTTGTGCCAAATATAAGCATGTCATCAATATACGGACAAATTATCACATAATCATTGTTTACCACTTTAGTATAAATATATTTATCCACCTCAAGTGAAGATAAATCGTCTCTCAGTAAGACTTGTTCAAATTTCTCATACCACTATGTAGGAGCTTGTTTAAGGCCATAAAGAGATTTAATTAATTCACAAACTTTATTTACTTATCCAGGAATGACTCACCCTTCAGGTTGAACCATATAAATATTTTTTTCTAAATCACCACTTAGAAAAGCAATTTTGATAATAATTTGGTGAATAAAAAGCTCATGAATTGAAGCTTGGGCAATTAAAACTCTATGAAAGAAATTCTAGTCACTTATGCTATTGTATCAAAATAATCTATATTTTATATTTGATGAAATTCTTTTGCTACTAACCGAGCTTTATATTTATCTAAAGATCCATCAGAATTAGATTTTCATTTGAAAATCCATTTACAACCAGTAGATTTCGCACCAGGAGGTGAATCTATTAAGATTCATGTTTTATTTTTCAAAGTAGAATTAATTTGATTTTTTATTGCCTCTTTTCAATAATTATCTTTCGAAGAAGATGTAGCTTCAAAATAATATGATGGCTCATTTTCGATAAGAAAAGTTTGAAAATCATTTCTATAAGAAAAATATTCTTCCCTAGATCTTTTACTCCTTCTCAGTTCCTCATTAGAGGTACTTTCATTATTTGTTTCAACAAGTGTATGAGAAATTTTATCAAACAGTGTTTAAATAAATTCAAAGAACTCAGCATTCTTTGTCTCAATTATGGTATTGTAATAAATCACATCACTTTCTAAAATAAGAAATCTATATGAAACACTATGTTCAGCATATCCAATAAGCATACAATCTGCAATTTTAGAACTTATTTTTCTCTTTTTAGATTCAGGCAAAAGAACTTTAGCAAGGCACCTCCACACTTTTAAATATTTCAAGTTAGGTTTATAACCCTTCCACAATTCATAAGGAGTTTTTTCCAGTTCTTCTATGCGGTATTCTAATTTGTAAGTGACATGCAGATAATATAGCTTCACCCCACAAGTTATTAGGTGCGTTAGAGCTAACTAACATGGAGTTCATCATCTCTTTCAATGCTCTATTTTTTTCCAGCTACTCCATTTGACGCATGCAAATAAGGCGGAGTTACTTCATGAATTATTCCTTCTTTTTTACAAAAATCATTCAAGGATAAATATTCTCTACCTCTATCTGATCTAATTCTCTTGAGTTTTCTACTAAGTTGATTTTCAACCTCAGTTTTATAAGAAATAAAAGCATTAAAGGCATCATCTTTGTTTCTAAGCAAATACAACTTAGTATATGTAGAAAGATTATCAATAAAAGTCACATAATATCTTTTACCACCTCTACTCATAGTCTGCTTTAAATCGTCTAAATCAGTGTGAATCAAGGATAATAATAAAGTTTCTCTATTTATAGAAAAAAGTCTTTTTAGTGCTTTTAGCTTCAGCACATATTTCACATATGTCTATATTGTTTGAGTCTAAAGCAGATATTAAACCTAATGACTATATTTTTCTTATATATGCGATATTAACATACCCTAATCTAGCATGCCATAAAGAAATAGATTCAACCATATAAGCAAAAACAGATGCATTTCCATTGATAACATCAGAAACATTAAGTACAAAGAGTCTCTGGTTACAATAGTGTAAAGCCCCGTAAAAGTTTTACCTAAAAACCTAAAATTTAGCGGTGCCGAGATAGGCCTATGTGTTAAAAATAGTAGAAATTCTTCGGGCCGAGCTTTCTCGATGCGGTTTAGACTTTTTGGGTTGAGCAGTACGCTAAAGAGTTAAAGGAAAATATTTTGCAGAAGCGGGCATTTCTGTGGCCCATTATGCGACCACATAATGACTATGTGTATCACAGAATGGCCGTAGAGTGAGGCAGTCTTTTGGGTAATTTTTGATGTCATTTTTGTGGCTTTTTATGCAATCGCAGAACCATTTTGCGGGCTGAAGTCTAATCGTATAACCAACCTTGAGATTCTTCAGATTGTGGTTCTGCGGCGCATTATGCAACCGCATAACAGGGGACCTCAAACTGAAGCAGAATAATTCCAGTTCTTGAGGGCCATTATGCGGCCCATTTTTGGACCACATAATCATCATGTGATCGCATATGGGGCCACAGATCTTGTTCCGAGGCTTTATTTTAAGGTTTTTATAACCTGACCCAATCTCATTATATAAGCATTTAAGATCATTTTTCTGGTTAAATCTGATACTTTTTGAGTAAGAGAGGGTGCTTAGAGTGGGGAAGTGTTCTTCAACCTATTACCCATCAATTTTTGCTCAAATCATTGAAGATTAACAAGAAAATTTACTAAGTCTTCACCTTAAAGGTAAGAATCTATGCCCTAGCTCTTAATTTTAAAATTCTTTTGACAATGGGTAGTTAGCAAGACCATCCTTGGGTAAGAGAGTTGTTTATCTTACATGCATGTGTGATAAAAGAGTGTTGGAGTATTGTGAGCTAAAAATGGTAAAGAATGGGGAGTGGGATGATGAAATCTTTCACAAAAAGGTCTTAAAAACATAATGCACACCTAGTGTTTGGTAATCTGCTCAAATGAGCTTATCATGATTATCTTTCTAATTTTTGGTTCAACTTGTTATATTCCTAAAATTAATTGAAGTTGCTAAGAGTTCCGGAATATAGTAGAATTTATGAAATCTCTATTGAGGTATGTACAACAAAACCCCCCTATTCTTAGAATTTAATCACATGGTGTTCGTGCAATCGGTGTAAGTCCCGAATTGATTGTTATACAAATTGCTATTCCGAATGTGCTTGAGTTGAAAAATATATGTGCAATATGTATTCTAATGCTTTCACCATGTTATCTTATTACTTGAGGATGTGTTCAAAATATGGAATATGTGCTGAAAATGCCTACACTTCAAGTCAAAGTGGAATAAAGATTGTTATGCCACATTATGTGAAAAGTCTCTATGTGCCTTAGATTCTAAATTGCTTATGTTTGCTTAAATGTTATGAAAAGAAATGCCTTGTTGTTGGAAATCTATGATGATTTTTGAAAGCAAAAATCCGAAATATGAGATACAAAGCGAGAAATACTAAAAGTGAAATACGAAATGAAAAATATGAAATACGGCCAACGTGCCAAGTGAAATAATAGAATTGTAGTTGATGTCTCTTATGAGATGGCCTAGCCGATTGGGTCGTGATTGTACGCCATGTCGTACGCATGATGGTGACTGTATCAGGAAATTGTAATCAAAATTGTAATTGTAGTTGATATCTTACATAAGATGGCCTAGCCAATCGGGTCGTGATCAGACGCCATGCCATACACATGGTGGTGACTGTAATTGACATTGTAATTGGAATAGTGATTGTGGTTGATGTCTCACATGAGATGGCCTAGCCGATCGGGTCGTAATCAGACGCCATGTCGTACACATGGTGGTGACTGTATTGGAAATTGAAATCGAAATGGTGAATGGTATCATATTGGTACTGAAGGCTTCCCCGACTTAAAATTAGAAATTTAATTGAAATATATCTCATCCCTTATTTGATGTTTGGTAGATGTTCAATGCCTTACCTGATATTATGATTGTCCATACTTGTATTATTGTCCATTCTAACGAGATGGTGTTTAGTTATACATACTAGTACCATTCGACGGTACTAATATCCCTTTTGCCGGGGGTACTGCATCTTAAATGGATGCAGGTGGTTCCATAGCAGGCAATGTTGATCAGCGTTAGTAGTACATCCTCCTCCCAGTAGTCTTGGTGAGCCCTATTTCATTTCGGGGTTATACATCTTTCGTTCCTTATGTATTGCACTTGAGCTATATTCGGGACCTTTTTGCCGGTATTTTTATAGTACACTTTTGTATCTATTTAGAGGCTCCATAGACATAGTGTGAGTTAGTTGTATATGGGTTCTGTGGAAATTCGAATGAATTATGTTGTTTTGAATCATCTATTCTACTTAAAACAACGACAATGTATGTATTTTTGAGACTTTAAAATGAAGTAACATATGGAAACAAGTTGGTATTGCATACATGATCTCTTTATTGGTTAACTAGAAATGTTATGAACTCTCTTTGAACCATGTGTGAGTTTGGGTAGGGTGTGTTCAACAGGCTTGCTTATCCGAGTTCTCTCGGTTGGGCGTTGGTCGCGCTCCCTGAGTTTGGGGAGTGATAAATAGCCCTTTCATACAAACATTGTTTTTGGTCATTATAATCTTATCAAATTCAAATGGCACTTTCACTCCAGCTCTTCCCAATAAGGATACAGAGATCAAGTTTGCCCTCATAGTAGGAACATGAAATACATCAACAAGGGCTAAAAATTTTCCCGAAGTGAGTTTTAGGAGAAATTTACCCTTACCCAAGACTTTGGTAGTGCTTGAGTCTCCAAGGTATACCTCTTCTCTATCATCCTCTAAAGGAGTATAAGAAGAAAATACTTCTCGATTTGCACAAATATGCCGAGTAGCCCCAGAGTGTACCACCCATTCTTTTGCATGTACTATAATATTTACTTGAGAAATGACAACCACAATAATATCAGCACCGTCAACTAAGTTAGCCTTAGGAGTATTAGTTTTTTTTGTCATTTCCTGCTCTGTACTTGTAGTGTGAGGCATGATGGCCTGGTTTTCCACAATAAAACAAGAGCCTTTTTTTCTCTTAAGGTTGGGATTTTTGGGCTTGTAACCTTGAGACTTATTCTTGTACCTTTTACGGTTGCTGCTGCTACTTTCCACTGAGTTTTCTTTAAGAGCTGCCATGCTAGCTTTGGCAGATTCTTTTCTGTTGGAATCTTCAATTAGGATGTCGGTCACAATTTTCCCATTGGTGAAATTTTTCTGTTTGTGCTTTAAGTTTTTCTTGTAGTCACTCCATGAGTCGGGAAACTTTTCAATTAGCACTCCAGCAGCAAACTCTTCTAGTAAAGACATCCCCTTGGCCTTCAAATATTCTAGCAATTTTTGATACTCGTTGATTTGCACGTTCATCTCTTTATCATCTCTCATCTGTCACTGCAAAATTTTCCTACTACAAATTTTTGTTTTGTAGCATCTTAAGTAGTGAATTTTCTAATTAAGGCTTCCCAGATAGCTTTAGCTTCCTTATAACTGCAATACATGTCAAACATTTCATTGGAAATAGATTGTAATATAGTATGGCGACATAACTTGTTGGCATGTTGCCATGATTCCACTATTTTATTATCAGCGTCTGCACTAGGTTGTGGATGCAGTAGTGCATGTGCGACACCATGGACATCAAGCAGTGAGAAAATAAGTTCTTGCCAATGCATGAAATTTTTATTGGCGAAAATTTCAATATTTACACATATGGAAATGGCCTGGCATATCATAGTGTAATTAGGACTGGAGCAGCAGAGGTAGCGCCAATATTGGTAGTATTAGTAGTATTTTCAACATCAGTGTTGTTTTCCATAGTTTCATAGATTGTAGTAAAATAACACTAAAAAATAACAATAATGTTATTTGTAATCAGATACACGAATTGACTTGAGTCGTGTTGAACACTGTCCTAAGAAATTATTTCAGCAGTGTGAAATATTTTTCCATGGTTAAACAAGCTTACCTCTACTTAAAAGTATATGAGAATCAACATAATATTAAATTACAAACCCTGCTATTTAAAAGAGGAGGACAAAAGAAAATAGACTACAAAATTTCGAGAAGGAAAGACAACTAACGGAAACTGATGAAGAATGAAAAAGCAAAGGAAAGTTGCTGATGCTTGATGCCTAATTTGAATGCCTATTTATAGGTTTTACAAGAGGTTTGAAGGATGACACTTGTCTTGAATTTTCCATGCAATATTGCACACTCATTTCTCTATTGCTACTTGGAAGGATATTTGTCCAATTTTGAGAAAAGCACAATATCGCCTTCATCAAAACTGATGTAAGAAAATGTCACGCGGTACATAGATAAATGTATATTCTATCTCCAGACTTCAGAGGCAAAAATCTTCGATGATATGTTTAATTTCATCGAAGAGCTCTTAATGTTTACACAAGCGTTACCCACCCAAAATAATCTTATTCTCGCAAACCTTTGGGGTATTTTCATATGTATCCAATTTTGGGGCCACCATTGAAGTTATATTTGTATTGCACAGATTTTATAAAGTGTATCCGCTCAACTTTGAAATAGTTCAATCTCTTCAATGCAACTTTAGAAATCAAATATGAAGTTCTTCTATCTTTCAAATGCAACTTTAGAAATTTAAATATGAAGTAGTTCAATCTCTTAAATGCATATTCAAAAATCAATCCGAAATTCTTCTATATTTTGAATGCAACATCAAAAATTCAAATCTTAAGTAGTTCAATCAATTGAATGCAACTTCAGATTTTGAATATTGAGTTCTGAAACATAAACATGTTCTTCGAAGTTCAACAATCCAATACATGATTCAATGCTCAAATTCTCTACAGATGAATTCAAATTTAAAACATAACTTTCAAATATCATAAAGAACAAATCTCAATCATCAAATTGTCAAAACAAAAAAAAATTAAACGAACCCATTTTGTAACTAAGAAGAAGAAGAAGAAATTGTAAGCACAAAGAGGAAGAAACCAACTGTAAAGAAGAAGATATATATATATATATATATGTATGTATGTATGCATGTATGCATGTATGCATGTATGCATGTATGCATGTATGTATGTATGTATGCATGTATGCATGTATGTATGTATGTATGTATGTATGTATGTATGTATGTATGTATGTATGTATATATATGTATGTTATGTACGGTCAAAATAGGGGCTACCCGATTTTGCTATTTGATCAAAACAAAGGAGCTGCTTCGGGGGTAACCTCGAGGCTAGCAACAATCGAGACTAAGTAAGACTAGCTTTGAGTTGAATGAAATAACGGAAAGTCGAGATATCCGTAACCGGTCGGAGTTCACGGCGAAAATCTCGGAGCAAATCAAATCAAGGGAGATTATTCGTATCAATCATGGGATTTACTTCCGTAATTAAAATTGTACCATAATTAGGATTCCTCTAGTACATAAAGAGGGGTCCCCATCATTAGTGGACACTTTTACATTCATATTGACAAAAGCAATACAATATTTCTCTATTGTTCATCAATTTATTGTTCTTTAACTGTTCTTGCTTTACTATTCTTGAGAGTTCATGTCATGCCCCAACCTCGGGAGGCGCAATCGGGGCTCAATCGAGTGAATCCAACTGAGCAAGCCTTTTTAACAATTTCTACTCAATACGATTAAGAAACCATGCTTTCGTTTATTTAGACAATAGCAAAATTGTACATTCAACATTGTTAATTCATTTTCATATCATGAACCTTAAGTCATGGGTAAGTTTTTAAGTTTCATACAGCTACAGTTTAGAAGAACTAGAGCTTAGAATTACTATAATGTACATTGTCCCATCCGATATCTGAACACAACCTACACAAACGTCTACAGAGCCTCTAAGGATACAAAACAAAATTATGATAATGCCGGCAACAAGGCCCCGGCTATACCTCAAAAGTGGACGTCTACAACAAAAGATGTACAACATAACCCCTTGGAGGAGAAAGGGGGGCTCACCAAGACTTTGAGAGGAGGATACTCCGCTACGCGCGATCAGCACTGTCCGCTATGGAGCCACCTACATTTATTCAAAAATGTAGCGCCTCGGCAAAAAGGGACGTTAGTACCATGGAATAGTACTAGTATGTATAACTAAACACCATCATGTTAGAAAGAACAACCATACAAGAGTAAAAGAAATCATAAGGGCTATAAAGCTTCAAACAAACACGACGTCAGCAATATAAAAGGTTCACATAGCTTTCACATAGTTTCCGAAATTTTAGGTTGAGGCATTCAATATTGTTGCATCAACATCCACAATACCACCGTTTCCTTGAGCGGATTCCGATCACGGCCCGATCGGCTAAGCCGTCTTACCAAGACGTTACCCTTATTTCATTCTTACTTTCTAGTTTCAATTATCAATACATTACCACTATATGTGTATAACATGGTGTCCGATCACGGCTCGATCGGCTAAGCCGTCTTACCAAGACGTTACCCTTTTTTTGTTAATCATCTCACTTCAATCTTTGGTTTCACATGTATTAATTCATCGGCACTTGGGGCCACAATTACCACATTCCATAACTCACATTTCACATTATTCCCATTTTCAACATTAACCTTGCCATTTAAGATCATAGGTACATACAAAAGCAATTTAAGTTATAAGCATAGAGAGGAATTCATCTAGTTCAGCATATTAATCAGAATGTACCCTTGACTTGACATTTAGGCATTTAGCACATAGCTTATGTTCTCCACACATCCTCAATTTACAAGAATAACACATTAAACACATGGAGAAGCACTTTCCACATACATTTTCACAACATCAATTCATTTGACATAACAAGTACTACATCAATCAAATTTCGGACTTACAACATTTGCACGGGCACCATGGAGGCTCAATTTTTAAGAGGAGGGGGTTTTAGCCATACATACCTTAATAGAGCTTTCCTTAAATCCTTATAAAAAAATATTCCAGAATTTTCCTAGCAACTTCGATTTATTTTATGAAAATTACAAATTAAACCAAGAATTAGAGACATGGATAAGATTCTAGCTCATTTAAGTAAATTATCAAGCACTAAGTATGCACAGTGATTTTAGGACTCTTTTGTGAGAGGTTTCTATCATTTTACACCCCAATTGCTTTCTCTTTAGTTCACAACCTACCCATACCCTATTATCTTTTATGCATGCAAGAAAATCCATTCTTATTCCCATGAACCCCCAAGCTAATTACTCATTCTAGTGTGAATTTCGAAACCAAAGGTTAGGGCTCAAGTTCTTACATCTTGGGGTGAAGGCCTAGCAAATTTTATTTGATAATCTTTAAGGGTTTAGGCAAAAATTGAGTGGGGATTTGATGAAGATCACCCTCTCTCTCTAGAACTTTCCCGTCTCACACTTTTTGCAGAAGAAAATCTTAAAAGGGGTCTAATGGGATGTTTTTAATGTGATGGGATCGGGTTTTAAAAGTTAGAAAATAGGAACCCCGACACGATCTGCGATTGCATATGCGATCGCATAATGGACATGCGACCCGCAGAATGGACCGCAACAAAATGGACCCAAAAACCTGAACAATTTGCCCCGGTATGCGACAGAAATGCGGCCCGCATACCTATTATACGGTTGCATAATGCACCGCAGAACTGCCCCTCACAAAAATTCCAAGGGGATTATGCGATGGCAATGTGGCCCACATATTGATTATGCGATCGCATAATTGGCCGCGTAGTTGACCTCAAATTAACCATCAAACTGTCTGACTCTGCGACGATTATGCGGTCCGCATAGCTATTCTACGATCGCATAATAGACCGCAAAAACACACTTTTTTGGAAAACATTGTTCCTTAACTTTTTAATGCACAGATCAATCCAAAGGGTACGAACTACAAATCTTTAACACAAATACCTAACTTGGCACTACGAGCTTTCGGGTTTTGAGTAGAAATTTTCACGGGGCCTCATAGTTCATCAACTCGAGGACATTGTCCTAACATCGGTTTGTTTCATATTCTTGTCAATTCCACCACATATCTCTAAATTAATCAATTGGTATAAGGTGAAATTGTGTATCCTTAAAACCATATTACAATTTTAATTGTTACTCAATTCATAGGGTAAACAGTTTGGCGCCTACTGTGGGGTTAAGGATAATAGTGATTGCTTAATATTTTAGGCTTCATAACACACACTACTTTTATGCTTGTTCTTGTGAGTATTTGTGATTTAAGGTATCAACATTTCAAATTCTCAAGCAGTACCCACTCACACTAACACCGGCCTTGGTCTTCATGGCGAAAACGAGCATGTAGTCTGTAATGACCCGGCTGATCGTTTCGTGAATTTTAGCCCGTTTTCCCATTTCTGCTTCTTTTTATGTTCCGCAGCTGTATTTTATCGTATCGTGT